AGAATATTGACACCCAAATAATACCAAATTACAGCCAAACACCAAAATACCGATTATTAAAATAAATCATTATATGGAGGCTATCCGGAAACATGGGTCAATATTAACAATTTTTAGTACGGCGATGTGCTGTACAATGAGAACCTAAAATACCAAAATACAGCCAATTTGGTTGAAAAACGTGTCCAAGATCTCGAATATTGAAATATACCGCTAAATGGGGGATACACTGAAACTTGTGTCAATATTATTAATTTTTACTCCGGAGATGTGCTATACAATAAAAACGCAAGGTAGCAAATTACAGTCAATTCGGTTGAAAACGTGCTAAAAGTCCCCAAAATATCAAATATTGTCGGATGCCGTTATAATGGGGCTACAACAAAACGTGGACCGATATATCGTATTTGCAATACCACTCATACTAGAATTACTAGCAATGTCTGTGCAAGAGCTCTATATTAAATATTACGATCTCTATCATGATTTCAAAAGACGGACATACGTAAATCAAAATTGACTTATATACTGATCAAGAATATATATACTTTGTGGGTTAGGTTGTGGCGTCTCCGGTGAATACTTCGAGGTGTTGCAAACAAAATGACAAATTTTATATACACTCAATCATATTGTCCTTTAACATAATAATTTGCCATACAAAAAAATCATTCCGATGTGTGATAAATTTAACAAGATACCCTCGATATTTTTCATTGTCTCAGAAAATTGTGTATAAAGGGAAAACTACTTTGTGGAGCTTGACTCTCACGGCCGAAGAACCCACATGTCGCCTTTCTTCTAAAATGTATCCCTAAAGATGGTCGACGATGTCAAAATACAAAATACAAACAATACAAGACAACAAATTTCTAGGTTATCCTTATCATTCCACAAAAGGATTGTATCTCCAGTAGGACTGTTACAACAACACCATTTATCGGTTACACTTATTTAGAAAAAATAAAACAAGAAAATGAAGGCCAAAACAAAGTATCGGATCTCCATTCATTCCAAATGTATTTTCATACTCAAATTCATTGGAAATTGCATCTAGTGTGTGTGAGTGTGAACTAATTAACATCTCATTGAGAAGAAATGTTATTAATTGGATTCACAACACACATTGTGCTCAAGTAGGTATAGCATATCGCGTTTTCCCGTTCTGTTTTAAAATGTTCACACATATTCTTTTCGTATTATTTAACAAATAGATTATACATTGTCACATTTTCGATATCTCAATTAGAATGCAAACAAAACTATCAGATCAGTAGTAGCAACAATATATTCAATAGCTATTGAGTATGTATATGCGCGCACACACAATATTATCTCATTTAATATGATTTACACGGCTATAATAGATTACGATTCTGATTATTTTTATTGCTTCAAATCGTGATAAAAGAAACCCGTATAAAGATTATTAAAAGCGTATGATTAAATTTGTGAATGTTAGCGCGAAATTCGATTTGTTCTACATCAACTAAAAATATCATTTCGTGTATTACAGAAGTGGTTCAGTAAACTTTTCAGGAACTTATAATGTATATTTGAAGTTTATACATTTGTAAAGTAAAAAACGTATACAAATGCAACAGTCTTGCATGGTATAACAAAACATCTCTGTGTTTTGTTCTATAAATATAAGTAACATTTTTAATACGTGGTCATACACACACACATCGGAAGGTTTTGTTTCCAATACCAAAGAAAGTAAATAATAACTCAAGCCATATCGTATACTTATCAATTGTTTACTTGAAGCACCTGGGTTTGCGATTTACCTACCTGTTGCATACGTTATCTGAAGGGTACACACACAGTCAGTTAACAACAGCAACACAATAATTACTCTAAACGTTTCTTCAATAACAAGAAATGAAATTAAATTACATTTTCATTTTGTTTTATTTTTTTACACTTTGATGGGAAAAATTTATATATAACCCTTTGAACCGCGATTTTCCACTCCAATAAAAGAAATATCGAATATATTTATATTGCCTTAGTCTGGGTGACTATATATGCCGATATAGTCACGAATCCTATGTTGTATTTTTTGTGTTTTCTTAAGTATAATCCAAGTAGAAATAATAAAAATTGTCGTTATTCATGTTATAGAGGTTAGGTTAGGTTTGGGAATGTGCAGTCACTTATGAGGCTGCAGCACTCTAAGACCGTCAGGTCCATTGTGATTATAGGGAGAGTTTTATAGGGGAGAGAAGATTGGGGAAATAAAGAGAGGTGAGAAGCTTACAAGAAAACGTAAGAAGGTATGTTTGAAATAATATCGATGGCTATAGAGATCGCACAGAAGATATATTACGTGGCAATGTTGCACTTTCCCAACCACTTTAGGTTTCTAATTATGCTGTAGATTGGAGCAGATTCAGTTGTTGAGATGAAGCTAAGACTCGGTTGAAAATGAGCACCCACTAGTCTCTGTCGCCTGTAAGATAGGGCTGGACAGTGACACAGAAGATGCTCAATTGTCTCCGTCAACGCAGAGTCTACAGTAATCGTATCATGATCCCATTTACTCGTAAAGGCCCTGATATTGCAATGACCAGTAATGATTCCTGTCATTACTCTTATTTCAGCTTTGCTCAGGTTCAACCGTAAGTGTGTCCTTTTGGTAGACAGAGTCGGCCAAATGGATCTTGACACATTGCACCTAGGTTCGTTGTGCCAAAGTTCATAGGCTCTTTCATCGAAGAACGCCTCCAAGTTCCGGTAAAGATTACATATGGGTGGTTTGATTGAGTCGTCAATTGCTAGATCAGTGGATTGGGACCCTTGTCTAGCTAATTCGTCTGCTCTCTCTCATTACTCAAGATGTCACGGTGTCCTGTTACCCAACACAGCCCATAGCTGTAAATTCTTCCAAAGCTGCTCTACACTTGAGGACGGCCTCAGATTTGATATAACAAGATTTGATGGCTTTACGAGCCGCTTGACTACCCACGAAGATAGTCACCGGTCCAACGACCTCTGCATCCAGACTTTTTATCAATTTCGTTAAAAAAGGGAGTACCAACACGCTCGGCTCCCTGAGCCTAATTTTAATCATAGTTGCCCGAAACCGAAATTACTCTGGAAATTGTTTAATGAATGGAAGTTTACTAAAAAAATAAAAAAGCTTTATGATTGGTCAAGGATATAGGTTACTTTAAATTTATATAAAAATATAGGGAGCAATCCAAAAAGTGGACCTATACCGAGAATTTTGGACTTGTAAACAAAATACAAATTTCAGCAAATTTTAATGGAGATTATTTCTAAAATCTCTAAATTGACAATGCATGGTAGAATGGAACATGTGTATAAAAATCTTCAAAAAAACGCAATTTACAGGATATAATTCCGGGTGGGGCCGCTAGATCAATATTTCGTATGCGTCACGTTCACGCTAGATATTAAAAATACCAATTAGGCGGGGTATTTAGGGGGTAGTCCTAAATGCGGGCTGATAGGTTTCATTCTCGAACCTGACTTTATAGTTTTTTATCTCCATATCCACCGAAGGTAGAATGATTACAGCATATGACTTAATCCTCTTAGAATTGTATACTTTGTAGGGTATAATTGTAGGACAACGTTTTATATATATATATATATATATATAAGGGGGTTTTTTGATGTTAAAAAAAATTAACAATAATGAAAAAAATTCTGTGATTTTTAAAAATGCAGAATAATTCTTGTGTTTACCCGGGGCTACACGGTAAAGTGGACCTATATTTATAATTTTTAGTTGAGAGATTTAGTACCGATTAACAAAACAAATCAATATTTTTATTATCGCTTCTAAGGACCAATTCCGCCGATTATAAACGATTTCGTCTGTACTCGTTTTAATTTTCTGTGTCTTATCAAAAATTTCCTATTTTGACAATAATTTCGTTAATCCGTTAATAGAAGAAATTTCTAACAACCATTCCATCACTGTTGAATAGAATTTTAATTTAAATTTCGTACGCCTAGTCGAAAATTTGACCTGTTTTTAGGCGGAAAGACTTTATAAAAAAATAGTTCGAGTAGAACTGAGCGTTCGATGGCCGAATGTTACACCACCTGTCAAGCAATAATTTGTAACCGATTTTCAAGCTATATGTTTGAAATGTGTTTTATACGGTTATATAATACAGGGTACAAACTCGATTTCCCAACAGTATAAAATATTCCCATAATTATGATAAAAATATGTACTCTGGACAATTAAAACAAAATCGAATACTTTTTTTCCTAAAATAGAAACGATTTCTTCTCCTTTGTTTTAAATTAATTATTCAAATTTCCCATAACAGAGCTTTCAATAAAATTGCTTTCATTCAAAATTACAAAAATATGAATTTTCTACTACGTTTAAATTTTTCATGAAAAGGTTTTCTATGGCAATTGTTATTGTTTTCTCCCTTCTCCATATGACCTTTACTGTGACCTCTATTTGTCGTTGAGACTACTTGGAACAAAGAAGATGATGATACTAGTATTCAACCATACATCATCAGAAGTGTTCATCCACTTCTCGACATTAGATGGGGGGAACAAAAAATATAAACATCAAATACAAATTTGCGTATATAAATAAGAAAACAAAAAAAATATAAGACGTACAATATTCATTAGAAGTAAAAAAATGTATTATAAATATGAATTTGTTTTCAAAAAAAAAAAAAATAGCAAAACAGAATCTGCAAATAATTCCCAACCCGCACAGCAGCAGCAATGAATGCAAAACAATCACGAAGCTGCGACACCCTGAGGTGTACACCGACAATTGTTAAAGTGTTACGGAAGTGTGTGTATGTACTTTTCTCTCTTTCATCATTAGTCGGCCAGTCAGCCACCCAAATAAGCGGAAGATGTTGGGGAGGGAATACTATGCATGTATGTAGTAAAAAAATATGACAAATACAATTATGAAAGAGGAAGAAATCGCTTGCAACTGCGACCCCAAACAATATTGTAAGCTAAGCTATTCAACAACTTACCTCCCACACCCAAGTTGGCCTTTTTGGGATGATTATCCTCTTGGAAAGCACGATTCAAGGCAAATACCTCAATGGCTGGACCTTGTTCGACACCAGAAAAAATTGAGCTGGACATTTTTGTGTTGTTGATTGTCGTTCAATGCAAACGCAAAAAGAGATTTCAAAAGCGAAATTTATTTCGTTTTCTCAAAAGGCCGAAAAACTAAATTTAAATAATTTTTTAATTGCAACTTTTTTTGTTTAGTTTCTTTTTCAACTTTTTCACAAAACCGCAAACAGCGCAAAAAAGGAATAGAACAACCGGCTATTTTTCGTTAATGAAAATTATTTAGAACGAGAAACCAATATACAAAAACAACAAAATAATGATGAATAACTTCAGCGAAAAAACAACAGTACTTTAAATAGGCGGTGGTGTATACAGCCAAGCAGGCAACCGTATTATGTGACAGTCTGACGACCACTAGAGCTAAAACATTAACGGGCGATAACTGAATGAATGTACATTTGATGTGGAAAGTAAATATGTATGTACGACCATACGACGACGATGACGCTGGCTGCGGCAGCAAAATCCGAAACGGCAGCGATAAGACGTCAAGTGCAAAAAATACAAAAATCAGCAATACAACAACTTAACTGCCAGAGCAGCAGTCGCTGCTGCTGCCACTGCCACTGCGTTTTTACAATTCATGAGAAAGAACCTAAATATACGAACGTATTCGTATACAAACAAAAACAAGAAAATATAACGGCAACGAGTTAATGACGTCGACGATACGGCTGCGATAATTTGTATTATGAACTGGTGTTGTTTTTGTTGTTTTGTTGGAGCAACGGATGTGGATGATAATTGAAATATCTGTATATATAGTGATTAGTCGGTTGGATGGATGTTTGGTTGTGTACTTTATAAAAGTATTGGAAAAACAATCAATAACAATTATTTGTTTGTTAAACAAAATGGGCACATATTTCTCTCTCTCTTCCTTTAACAAAACCCCATCACATTGGCGACGCTTCAAGTTGTAAACACAACTCTCTCGCACAAACAAAAACGCACACACACGAGTCTTTTTTACCTTACCTAATTCACCACCCTCCTTGCTAATCGTATTTCCTACACATAAGATTTCAGATTTTTGACACAATTTTTTGACAGTTCCCTATTTTATCATTTCAACCTGTTTTCTTCATTTTCATTTTTTGTTCTTTCATGATCTGTTTTGTGCCGTCGTTGTGGGTCATATTACTGTATTGTCTTTTTGGCAATACATTTATCTGTTTTTTGGCACTTCCACTTAATTATTGCTGAATTTCATTGTTGTATTATCTTTAAGAGTTTCTCTTTTGGTTCGTCGTTTTTGTTTCTTGGTGTTTTGCAATTCGTCCGTTGTTGTTTGTTCACAATAAAATTTCGACGCTATTGTGAATGATTGAAGACATTTTTTACATTGCACTCTTCGTCTCATTCACGCACACACACACTCACTCACACAATAATCAGAAATTTTATTTTTTTCACTTACCACTGTGATTATTAACCTTTGCTCTATTTGTTGTTACTGGATTGTTTTTTCTCTATCCTGGAGAGATATGTCCGAAGTCCTTTCAATATTCTAGGATGCGTTTATCGACTATTCCCTTGTATGGACAACAGTTTTTTTCCTTTTCGTTTCTTTGCACTTCTTCGTTTGCTTTGCTTCTTCTGTAGTGGGTCAACGTCGTCGTAGTGTTTGCTCTCGGTTATCTTCTTCTTTGTTCTGCTGCTGCTGCTGTGTTTTTGCACTTCATCTATTGCTTCTCTTTGTTGCGTGCTGCTGTTTTCTCGATTCGTATATTTTCCTTTCTGTTAATACTTGGCAAATTTTTTCATTCATTCACAATAAGAATGGAACTTACGGTGAATAAATAAAGAAAATTTGCATTGCGTTCCAAATATTCAGATCATTTTTCACTTTCACCTAGCATCGCTTAATATTGATTTCCAAGTAATTTATATGCGTCCTGCTCGGAATTTGGCGTATGTGATGTCGTATTCTGCACACGAAAACTAATTTGTTGGCCGCTATCAATTTATAATTTTTTTTATCGTCCGCAATTCTTTGTCTACCTATAGTTTAACAGCTGCTTTCGCACTCCAGTCTTTCGTTTGATGATTTTTTCCTTTTCTTTTTTTTCAGTTCCACACTCTTTTGTGTTGATACTTTTCGATTGTATTCATCATGTGCGCTTCCCACACTCGAACGCAGAATAATTCACAGTTGGTTTATTATGAAATATGCAACTTTATACACACGGGGTTGGGTAAAATACTTGTTCAAAATATTTTTTCAGATTTGGCTTCCACAACTTGAAAATGAATTAACATTATAAAAATGTTCACAGTGACAGTAAAGCGACGTACTTTTGCAGCTCTTGACTTTTAGAGAAATCATTCACAGTAAGTGCAAAATGAGGTTATTAACTAAGGGTTACCAAGTCACAATGCAAACGCAAAAGTAATCGTGACCATCTACGCAATGCAATTACCCGAGAATTGTGATGTGTGACTTTTGACGCGTATTCAAATGATAGACGATGTTGAGTATGGTACACACAGTGATCATAACAATCAAATAAATAATATATTATTTATTTAAATTCTTACACGTATACAATGCCTTATTTAACTAATTATTATGAATACAGTATGCGAAATCGACATTGAGAGAATGTAAAAAAAGAAATTATATTTTCTAAATAAGATACAAACAATTAATATATGAGATCAGAAATATTCAAAATTTTTATTCAGTTTTTATCACTAATATCATGGCATAATTATACAAGGTCATGCAGTCATATGTTTCCAACTTTTTCATAAATCTGCTTTTGAAAAAATGCAGCTTTAAGCACATTTACATACAATATATATTTCAGGGCTTTGAAAATTCGTACGTCGACGTATTTCGGTAACTTTCATATAAATACATGTGTTCTACTTTTGTGGTGGAAAACGTCGAACGAGCTAGTTGAATTTTAGGTAAGGCTGGAAAAAATTCAACTATGATAAAACCATGGTATAATTATTACAAGGTAGGGCACAGCTTCCAACTGATTACAATTTTATCTCAAGGTGGCTTGTTCCATCAAATCAAAATACATATTTTGTGTATGTGTGTGTATTATTTTGAATACAATGTCAAATAAATTTAAAATAAACACAAATATATTCAAGTTTAATTAAAATGAAAATAAAGTTTTTAACACGTTCGTCTGGAAGTAATTACTTTGTTATGGATGAATCAAACATTTTATGGTATTCCCTACTGAATTTTGTGAAGAAATCATAAACTTTCATTCATTTTTCGCGTTTTTAGTTTTGTGTTGAAAAAATGTCAAATAAACACAAACACTTGTTGCGTATATTTATTTTATTTTTGGCAGAAGAGGCCACATGTGTATAGTTGCTTTTTTGTTATTCACCTCAAGCTGCCCTACCTTGTATTATTTTACCATGGACCAACTGATGTTTGTAAGTATACATACAAAATTACCGATTTGCGTTAAAAAATGTATTGTTATTTGAAAATGGCAAGAAAGATTACAACAATGAAAATGTTTTTGCTGTGGTGGGATTCTGTAACAGTTTTAAAGCAGTGTACACATTTATCACTGTTGGCGCAAATAAATGTTGTTTGTTGTTTCGAGTTTGCTCGAATGTGAAACATTTTCCCACATTTGCTGTGCTCCATTCTATATATATATATATTGGGAACATAATTCGAGCACATGTCAAAGACATAGAACCGCATTCTGCATAGCCCTTATGGCATAAGCAGAATGCTCGCGTTGAGCCATCCGTCGCGTTATTTGTTATCGAAAATACAACAACCACAAGGAAACGATAAAGGGCTAAACAGAATGTTCGCGTTGAGCGTTTTTTGTTATCGCGTTAACGCACGCAAAAAGTTAAAATATATTTAACTCCGAAGCGCAGCGCACATCAACTTCGAGCGTTTGTGTTATCGTTTCCTTGTGGTTGTTGTATTTTCGATAACACATAACGCAACGGATGGCTCAACGCGAGCATTCTGCTTAGCCCTTAAGGGCGCGCTGCGCTTCGGAGTTAAATATATTTTAACTTTTTGCGTGCGTTAACGCGATAACAAAAAAACGCTCAACGCGAACATTCTGTTTAGCCCTTTAAAGACTCGACAAAATGCATTTTGACAAAATAGTTTATGAAAACATATCTAGGGGAATCATCGCGCGAAAATGTGCATATAAAATGTAAATAAAATCAGAGATCTGTACACAAAATATATGTTTTTATATTATAAGCTTGCGATATAACACGTAAAAGTTTAATATTGTTCGCTCTGTTGTTATGATATCGTAACAACAGAGGAAAAAATTTATATGAATATCTCATATGCCATGTTCTGACGGGCATTCGAACAACGTAGTTCGCTCTCAGAATTATGTACATGAATTAACCCGTTCATACAACACTATTCTTAATTCATGTCATCAGAGTTTTCTTTATCAAATTTCTTGTTTCTCCTTTTACACCGAAATCTCTACTTATTTATGTGTATTACCTATGAATTTAAATAGAAAAAATTATTCTCTTTATTCTGAATATAATAAGAACCCATATCTAAATACTTTTCATTCATGTTTTCCATTTTTGCTGAAAATGTTGTTGTTTTTAATACATTTTTATTTTTTCTCAATTCAAATGTCACATACTGTCACATATAAAAATTTGGAAAATTTTTTGTTTGAGTTTCCCCACATTAGAACCAAGGGAAAAGAAATGATATAGTAAACTGCATTGATAGTCAGTATTGCCTTCCGTATTTTTATGCAGATGGTATGCATTTATTCTTTAGGGATGGGTCAATTACAAATGTAGACTCTGAAATTAATTGTACACTAGACTCGATTAATCGTTGGCTTACCATAAATAATGTTTCGGTTAATATAGGAAAATAATTAACCCTACTATATATATACATATAAATTTAAATATAGAATTTATCATAGAAATGTTTGGGATGTGTACTTGATAATAGGCTTACATTTAGTAAGCATATACTATCACTATATTCTGTTATACCATATCTAC